CTTAGGTATTCTTCTTCTCCCATTTGAAACTGTCGTTCACTTCGATTTTTATCAGCATGTTGTTTAATTCTGTTCTGCAACATATCTGGGACCATATGCACTGTGAATTCTGAACACCATAGCAGAGTATACGGTTTATCAGAATTTACATTCACTTAATACCACACCTCATCATTGTTTTGTGAAACTTTTCTCTTCCCTATATCTTTTGGCCTCTCATTTCTCCGTTTCAAGGTAACAATTTGCCCAACTCGAAGACCATCATAATGAAGAGGTAGAAACCCAATATCTAGGCAGGGTTCTTGGATTGGCAGCTGTAAGCTTAGAGCACTCCAAAATATTAAATTCTGGCTAGTATAGAAACTGGAACAATAATCTTCTAAAGCTTTGTAGTTCACCAAATTTCCATTGTGACCAACCTCAATAGACCCAAACTTATACCCCACATCTTTCTTATATTTGCCCCAAACCAAATTTTTGGTTAACATCTCTTCCATTTGAAATTTAAGGAAAAAATTTCCAATTGATTCAGACATTCTAATTTCTCCAGCAACCGAATCTAATCGAACTGATGTGTACCCAAATAACAAACGATTATTATAATCTGCATCAGTAACCTCATAGGTTTTAGCATTAACCACATTGATGAGAATGATTGTTCTATCAATAATTTCTCTATACCAACTAAAGAGAGTTGATCCTTCATAGCTATTAGAATATTCTTCCTCCCTAGAGTATATCCTTAAATCCAGAATAGTCTGACATAATACACCCACATATTCCCTTAGAAAGTAAACATATTCCAAATAGGTTGAGTTTCATTTGTAAGCTCCCAATCCCAGTACCTCTCCACAACCTTTTTTGTTTTCTTCTTTTTTCTCAATATTTTCATCTTGACCAGGATCTTTGGCTTCAACTAGGTCCTCATCAACTTTGACCTCTGTAGTGATTCCCTTTTCCTACCATGTATAACTTTGGAAATAAACAAATTGTGAATAATTATTCACAAGCTTTTGAATCCATTCCAGATTTGTCTCCTCCCAAATAGAATAGGAGCTTTCATTTGCTTCTCCTTCCTATACGTATGATTTCGGACTCTTTGTTGAAATAGCTACCTTATCAGAAACCAAATATGCTGAATAGAAACCAACCCCAAATTGACCGATCAAATTATTATATGTACCAACATCTTTTCTTTCCTTCACAGCCTTAAAAAACTTAGCAGTTCCACTCTGTGTAATTGTTCTAAGACAATCAACAAGTTCTTTTTTGTCATACCAATGCCTGAGTCAATAGTTGTTATTATCTCATTGTCTTTATCAGTTTGGATATGAATGTCAAGATCAACAGCTTCCTTTAAAAGCTGAAAATCAGTAACACTTAGATACCCTAACTTGTCCCCATAAAACTCAACGAATTTGCCAACAACACCATGCTTCCTCAGAATTTATGTCACGGTTAGAACCAATTCAATAGTTGTCACGCCAATTAATAATTTTCTAGATAACTTGAATCCAACAACACCAGGAAAAACCATGCTCATAGGCTGACCAAGCATGGTTGCCTCAGCTTCAATACCACCAACTCCCCAACCAGCTACTCCAAGACCATCTATCATAGTTGTATGAAAATCAGTTCCAACCACACTATCGGGGTACAACATTCCGTTGGTGTTGAAAACAACCCGCCCGAGATATTCAAGATTAACCTGATGCACAATACCAGAACCAGGAGGAACAACAAGCATATTATGAAAGCCAATAGATCCCGGAAAGAAAATCTTTCCTTGTTCCTCTAAAACTCAAATTCCATGTTTGCTTGCACTGCATTTTCTGATCTGGTTACATCAACTTGAACCGAATGGTCAATGACAAGATTTACAAGAACCAAAGGATTAATTTTGCTTGTATCACTATCAAGTTTATGCATTGTATCACGCATACAAGCAAGGTCAACCACAACAGGCACTCCAATGAAATCCACAGATTCAAGCAAGATTCTGATAGAGTAAGGCAGTTTATCAATCCTTGGATCATTCAGGGTAGGCAAGCTGTAGAACCTTCTAAACTCGCCACCACATGGCTTGGGAAGACTTGTCAACACTGCCTTAAAGGGATGTTCAGCAGCATATTTTTGGCACTGTAGAAATTGATTCATATTTACCGTTGAAGGAGATCCGTCTAATTGTTTTGTTGCTGTTTGAGTTTTATAGTTGTCCACCCTCCATCCCGTATCATAATAAGGGACGATTCTCTTTCTTAATGCATATGGAATCTCCATTTGATTTTGAAGTTGCTGTGCAAATTCCAACCTATTCCAATTTTTTGTTCTGCCCATGTAGAGTTTTAGCCCCTCGACATTGAACTCGCATTTGATGAATTTATCAACACCACCTGTGAAAACTTGTCTTAACATTTTGTTATTACTGTCATGAACTGTCCAAAGCTGAAACGTTAGCTTCGACATTTTTTCAAACAGTTTATGCCCTCTATTGTGAAGTATCCTAATATCATTGGATGTAAACTCATTGGTGGAATCACCATGTACTGGTTTAGATTTTAGGATTTCGGTTTCATTAGGCTTATATGAAAATCGAGATTCAGTCATCCCTGTCACTAACATAGGCTTCTTCCCATCAGTCTTAGGAAGGTTAGGAATATTTACATGTTCATTCTCTGAACTAATTTGTTCTTGTAGTTGAGTAAAGCAGTCCCCATTCCTTTGCTTTTGCTCACTCTTTTTATCATTCAGAATCTGTAAGATCTGCTCTACATATCTTTGATTTGTTACCAGTTTAGATTCCAACGTACTCAATCGGCTTTTCTGTTTTTTCCACCATTTAGGTGGATTAGTATCATCTTGGCCTTGCTTTACCAACACAACCAAGTCTTCAATTTGTTTTTGAAGTGCAAAAAAAAAATCAACTTCAGCCATATTATGGGTTTTCTTTGTCATACCCACTGAAAAATTGCCAGGAATTGAGGCTCTAGATACCAATTGTTATAGATTAAGAGAAAAGAGTATATATGAGAGAAGAATTTAGAGAAGAGAGATTATAGAAAAGGAATTCATCATTCATTGCATAAGGAAATTCTTGATTACACAACAGGTATTTATTTAGTTACAAGCTGGTACAGGGAATCTAACAATGTCAGCTGATATTCCTTACTAACAACTTATAACAGTCATTCTTATCTTCTTTCTCCTTGCAGGATATTGGGCCACATGACCTGTGCTGCTTCAACTCGTCCTGGGCTGGAGACTTGGGCAGATCCGACTCTGACTGGACCGGATACACGGGTGACTCCAATTCAGAGGGTAAGTACCTCATGCCCCTTTCTCGTGTTTCAATCCCTAAATCCCTCTTTTCAATTCCCTCAATCTCTAACCCTTGACTTCTGCTTTCCCCAATTCCTTTTTCTCGTCCACGCTCATCTCTTCCGACTGTGACACCTGCCTTTTCTCCGCTACCACACGGAATTATCGAATTATAGCTGAATTTCAAACGAGTATGTAATTTCGCATTGGCCATTATTTTTGCATTTTATTGGAGTTCAGAAACAACAATTTTGTGCTTTTGTTTTTTGCCTTAGAAACTTTAGGTTGTTTACTTTCAAATAGTGTCGTGAGTTAATGGATAGAATTCAGTTGAAGAATTTCAAGAATTGTTTCGATTAAATTATTCTTGGACAATCATAATTATCATACGTTAATGTTTTCAGTATTATATTTGTGTTTCCTAGTAGATAATCAAGTAAAATTTGACAAATTTAATATCCCACTGAAATGCTTTTTGTGAGTTAATCAGTAGCTATTGTTATCCGTATGTATAAGCTATCCCTTTAAGCTCATATTTATTGGTTTAATGCCCTTTTATTTCTTTGTGAATTAAAAATGTACCGAGTTTCATTCTTGATAAATTTCTGCAAATCCAATTTTTTACTGGACTAAACAACATTGTGTACAATATCTGAAAACTATGTGTATCACTCTTGTCTCAAGAATCTAAGATTGATGTCTTGTTTAGATCCTGAAGCAAGGGGGAAAAGTGGGTTTTAAAATTGCTCTAGAAAATTTTTTCGATTGCATTTTTTTATGCTGTCACGCCAATTTATACATAGAGGATTATAAAATTCTATCATTCTTCTTAAGTTCAACTCCACTAGCTTTTTCTGAAAACTAATGAGTTACAAATTGTGCATCTCTTGATTGTTTATATTTTGCAATTGAAGAACTTCACTTACAGACAAACAACTCATATGAGAGCAGAAGAGATTAAAACAGACATGTATATCAGCAGTTGGCCTTCAGATTTGGCCCACGAGAAGTGGGTTAAACTCCCGGTTTCTAGTGCACATCCATCAGCTCGATACAAGGTATTTTTCTTTTTTCTTGTGAAGCTTGCACAATATCATATTGGTTGTCTCACTTTATGTACCTGTCTCATTTGGGATGTTTGATCATGTTGTTAATCGTTAATAGGGCTGCTATCCATTTATGAATTTTTCTATTATAATGGGGCTAGATTGCTTATCATGTTATTGTTGGCTTATCAATGTAGCATGCTGCAACAGTGGCTGATGAGAAACTATATATCAATGTAGGCAGTCGTAATGGTCTATACCTGTCTGATATTCAGGTTTTGTTACATGACCTCATTCTTACGTATTACTTAATTGTCTGTATTGTGCTCTTTGGCTGCTTTTGCAGGTATTTGATCTTAGAAGTTTGACATGGTATAGTCTGAAACTGAAGATTGATCCTAGTGATGATAAATCAGAGGACAATGGCTTACAGGAAGTTCTTCCAGGCATTTCAGATCACAGTATGGTATGACTTTTATTGCACCACCCCAATAGATATGATTCTTTTTTCCCTAACTAAACTCCTCTTCTTATGCTGTGGTTCAATGCAATTTTGAATAAGCACTTGAAACAATAATTTATTTATATATTTTGTTTCAGATTAAATGGGAAAATAGACTACTTCTTCTGGGTGGGAATTCTAAGAAATCTTCTGATGTAATGATAGGTTTGTATTTCTAAGGGTCATTTGGTACAATTACAGCAGAAGTTTATGAATCCAGTATTTTGTTTAATGGTTTGTGACAAACGAACATTTTTACATTGTTTGGAGTCTAATAAAAATAGTTGATGCACTTGTAGTGCATTTCATCAATCTGGAGACTCATGTATGTGGTGTCATGGAGACCTTTGGAAAAACTCCGGTAACTCACTTTTTACAGCTTGTATTAATATATTTTACAGTTTTCGTTTTCTCTATGCTTGCTCGTTTATTTTATTCTTAATTGATATATAGTTTTAAGTTATATGCTTCTTGAAATGTGTAGAATTCATTTCACTTGCTGGTTTTTTGTGTTATATGTTCCAGGTAGAACGTGGGGGTCATTCTGTCACAGTGGCGGGTTCTAAGCTGATAGTTTTTGGTGGAGAAGACAGGAGCAGGAAATTGCTTAATGATGTACATGTTTTTGATCTACAGACAATGACTTTGAGTGCAGTCGAGGCAACGTAAACTTCTTTTCTGATTTTAAATGCCGATTATTCCTCAAAAGTTTAGAAGTAGCCTGCATCGCTTGTATTTTGTTAGGCAGTCACCCCCAGCTCTAAGATATGATCACTCAGCTGCAGTGCACTCAGAGCGCTACCTTTTGATTTTTGGTGGTGGTTCTCATTCATTATTCTTTAATGATCTTCATGTATTTGACTTGCAGAATGTAATTTTTTTGGTTGGTCACCGCTGATGAACGGCAGCCGGCGAAGCGACGACCTACCGGTTTCTGGATTTTCACGCTTCCCCAGAGAAAATAGGGGGCCTCAGTTTGATCTGTTTTGAGATGGGGGAGAAAATGAAAATTGTTTTTGGTTTTTGACTTTTATAGTTGACCTGTGGTTGACCCGTAACCCGATTCACCCAGCTAGAGGATCCGTGTGTTTTTTAGCACAAAGGGGTAATTACATTTTGGCCCCACAAAACTTTTAAAACTTTCGTTTTGCCCCCTAAAATTCAATTTCGTCCTAAATTCTTTTTAAATTAGCCCCCAATTTTAATTTTTATTTCAAATTAGCCCTTTTATTATTATTATATATATATATTCATGTTTTTTTATTTTTATTTTCATTTTTACTATCTTTTTTTATTTATTGTTTCTTTTTATTATTATTATTTTTATATTATTATTATTATTATTATTATTATTATTAGTGTTTTATGTATGTATATATATTTTATTTTATTTAGTTATTTTTTATTTGTTTTACTAATATTCTAATATATATATATATATTTATTTATTTTTTATCATTATTTTTTCTTTTTTTATTTAAATACCGTTATATATATAGTGTTTTTATTCTTTTTTTACTATTTTTTTTTATTTTTTTATTTAATATTATATTTGTCGAAACCATCTTTCGGTTAGACTCGGAATTGGGCTTCGACTTAGGAAAATGGATTAGGAGTTGACACCGATCATTTATTTTAAGAATAAAACGGGTTGATCGGATACCTTATTTCTTACCTGATCTACGTCTTACCAAAGATGTGTCAGATTCGAGAGTCGGTTACAATCAAGGAATGGTTAACACCCTTGAACTGCCCTTTCGGTACTACGTAGTTTCCAGTTGTCTTTAATTAAGAAATTGAAAGTTTAAATTAAAAGTTAAAATAACGATCCGAATCACTTACCTCCGATAGTTTTAAAAGTGTACCTTTAAAAAAGTTAGAAAATGTTACCTAAAGTAAAATGCGGAATAAAAAAAGACAATAACTATACAAAATGTCCCGAAATAAAAAAAGAAAATAAATACAAAATAAAAAAAGTAAAGACCAAATAAGGTAACTAAATTAAGAAAACAAATCAAATAAAATAAAAAAAGGAAAAAGGAAAATAATAATAATAAAAACACAAACAAAACAAAAAAATAATAATAATAAAAAATAAAATATACATAAATAAAACGTTAGGTAAAATAATAATAGTGATAATAAAAAATAATTAAAAAATGCATCTAATTCATATCTCCCCACTTACCCTAATCACTCCACCATCATTTCATCAAAACAAATGAGAAAAACCCGGGTAGAAAGAGGAAAGGAAGAAATTAAAGTGAGGCCAATCATATAATAATAATGAAGGTTAGGTAAGACAAATATATATATAATATAATATAATAATTAATAAGTAAAAGTAAAAACAAAAACAAAAACAAAAGAAAAAAAATATAAATACAAATACAAATAGAAATAGAAAATAAATAAATAGTAAAAAATAGAAATAAAAAACTAAAACATACATAACGTATTAAAATAAAAAAAGAAAAAAAATGATGATAAGAAAAAATAAAAATATAAACAAAAAAGTTAGGTAAAAAAATAAACAAAACAAGTAAAATAAAAGATATATATAATAATAGTAATTAATAAGAAAAAAATAATATATGCATTAATAATAATAGAGAAATAATAATAATAATAATAATAATAATAATATAAATATATATATACATAATTATATATAATATAATATTTAAATAAAAAAGAAATTAACATGGGAAGGGACCAAATTGAAAGACAGACGAGTTGGGTATTAAATTTAGAAGAAAAATCACAAGAGAAATTCGATTTGGGGGTCAAAATAGACCCTTAAAAATGACGGGGGACCGAAAGGGTGATTTACCCATTTTCCTCAAAAACACACGGATCCCCTCCCCTAGGAGGGGATCCGCTCGAGTCATCGGGTCGGGTTGTGGGTTATGTATAAAGCCCAAAGCTTGAAACAAATTTTCATAATTCATTTCCCCCTCAAATGGATCAAACTCCATTTTATATTTTTCTCTTAATTGTTCTTCGACCAAACGAAGAACACGACCGGGGTTTAAGAACAAACCCAGTTTTCGACAAGCGTCGCCTCGCCGGCCACTTTTGATTGGCACCGGCCACCGTTCATCGGCGGTGAAACATAAAAAGATTTCATTTTTCTAAAAGCTTTCCTTTCCCTCTACTCGAATATCAAGATCGTTTTTTTAAAAGTGCCTCGGGGAGGTGTAGATCTAGAAAAGAACATTTCGATCACCCCCTTTCGGTCATCGACGATCGGGTTTTAACAAAATACAACATGCAAGGGTAAACTACACGAGGTAAAAAAAATTCTACCTTTTATTTCTTTCGGAACTTGTACAAAATTGCTTCGATAATCTCTTACAATTTACTTATTTTTCATGATTTTTTTCTTTGTTAAATTCCTAGTGATCCCTAAATCGTGTAGTTACATATTTATTTATACAAAAAAATACTATTTTTAAAATCCTATTCCGAGTAAAACTCTTGGTTTGTTGAGAGTCTAATGGTTGCTTGCTTTGTTGGCTTTGCTGGTTTTCACATGTTATCGTGGTGTCAAGGAGTTCGGCGTTGGTTGCGTGAAAAACGGCGGTTTGACCAAGCTGGGTGAGAAATGACGTTGGGGAGTCTTCGGGGGTGAAAAGCTAGGGTTACGAACCCTAGCTGGTTTGGGTTCTTGGAATTCGGTTCGGGTCTTGAACAGTTAGGCTACCTCTTTTGTAAATAGGCTTGTGTATTGGGCTTAGCACTTGTTGTAATATGGGACCTGTTACTAAACATGTAAAAAAACAAAAGATAAATAAATATATGATATAAATATAATATATGATAAATCGTATGACACAAGTTGGGGACAAAATGACATGTCTACAGCTGCCCCTCTTTGCTCATTATCGTGTAACGAAAATAGGGCAAAGACTAAAATACATTAATTTCGTCCTACCATCGTTTAGTCTTCTGTCATGTGGATCGATTCCTGATTTATCAGATATCCTTTGTCGAATTGAGTTGCGGCTGGCTCTTCCGTTGCGAAGTCGAGTCCATCTCGAAATAATATGGAATTAAAGTCGGAGTTTGGAATTTGGATCAGAATGTGGTTTCTTATTGCTAAATTATAGTTCAATTCGGTCTTCTTCTCGATTTAAAGAACTTGGTTTAAAAATTTGACTGGCAAAATAGTTTTTTGACTCCACCCTATGGTTGACAGGCCCTCAAGATAAATGAAATCGAACTCGAAAGGTCTTCGTTGACAGATAGATTTTCTCGACTTAAGTTGTGCTGTCGAAAAACGATTTCTTTTCACTAAGGCATGGCTAACCCAAGTCATCTTCTCGACTTGAAAACCACGGCTACCACCGGACAGTAGTGTGAATGATGTGTCATCGAGCTGAATGGAATCGAACTCGATAATTTTTATTGACAGATAGTTTTTCTCGACTTAAGATATACTTAAAATTTGACATACCCTTGAGCTGAATGGAATCGAACTCGAAGGTATTGGCTGAAAAATAACCCTTCTAGCCTTGAGTTATGCTGCAAAGGATGTGCCCTCGAAGCTGAGTGTAATCGAACTCGAGGGTCTTTGGCAGATAGCCCTTCTAGCCTTGAGCTACACTGTAAATGATGTGCCATTGAGCTGAGTGTAATCGAACTCAAAGGTATTTGTTGATAGATAACCCTTCTAGCCTTGAGTTATGCTGCAAATAATGTGCCCTTGAAGCTGAGTGTAATCGAACTCGAGGATCTTTGGCAGATAACCCTTCTAGCTTTGAGATATACTGCAAATGATGTGCCTTTGAGTTGAGTGTAATCGAACTCAAAGGTTTTTTGTTGGAAAATAGCCCTTCTTGCCTTGAGCTATGTTGCAAATGATGTGCCTTGGAGCTGAGCGTAGTTAAACTCGAAGGTATTGGCTGAAAAATAACCCTTCTAGCCTTGAGTTATGCTGCAAATGATGTGCCTTAGAGCTGAGCGTAGTCGAACTCGAAGGTCTTTGGTTTGAAGATAACTCTTCTAGTCTTGAGTTATGATGCAAATGATATGCCTTAGAGCTGAGCGTAGTCGAACTCGAAGGTCTTTTGGTGGCAGATATTCTAGCCTTGAGCTATGCTGCAAATAATGTGCCTTGGAGCTGAGCGTAGTCAAATTCGAAGGTATTTGGTTGGCATATAACCCTTCTAGCCTTGAGTTATGCTGCAAATGATGTGCCTTAGAGCTGAGCGTAGTCGAACTCGAAGGTCTTTTGGTGGCAGATAGCCCTTCTAGCCTTGAGCTATACTGCAAATGATATGCCTTGGAGCTAAGCGTAGTCAAACTTGAAGGTTTTTAGCCTTGATTTATGCTTCAAATGATGTGCCTTGGAGCTGAGCGTAGTCAAACTCGAAGGTATTTGGTTGGCAGATAACTCTTTTAGCCTTGAGTTATGCTGCAAATGATGTGCCTTGGAGCTGAGCGTAGTAGAACTCGAAGGTCTTTGGTTGACAGATAACTCTTCTAGCCTTGACTTATGTTGCAAATGATGTGCCTTGGAGCTGAGCGTAGTCGAACTCGAAGGTCTTTTGTTGGCAAATAGCCCTTCTTGCCTTGAGCTATGTTGTAAGTCGAACTCGAAGGTCTTTTGTTGGTAGATAACCTTTCTAGCCTTGAGTTATGCTGTAAATGATGTGCCTTGGAGCTGAGCGTACTCGATCTCGAAGGTTTTTTTTGGCAAATAGCCCTTCTTGCCTTGAGCTATGTTGCAAATGATGTGCCTTAGAGCTGAGCGTAGTCGAACTCGAATGTTTTTTGTTGGCAGATAACCCTTCTAGCCTTGAGTTGTGCTGCCAATAGTTTCTTTAAAAAATGGCTTCCCTTTACGGGTCTAAGCCGATCATAATT